TTTTTTTTGCATTATTGTATTTTTAATATTAAAAATTATTTTGCAATTAAACAATCTCTTGAACAGGCTGCGCAAGCATAACAAATAATTACCAGAGTGGCAAGCAAAATGAAATAAGCACATTAAACTGTGAGGCTAATTGCAAACACTTCTGAAATATTATTATTAAAATTGTCTCTTTATAAAATAATTTTTCATAGCTTACTGAGAATGGTAGCAACAGCAGAGATATGAAGAAAAAAAAAGATTCACTTCGTCTTCCTTAGAAATAATACGCCATCTTTGATCTTGTGTCATTTCTGGATACCTCTGTATATTATAAAACTGGCGGGAAATATTAATTGCAAGGTGGGGTTAAGTTATGACGTCATATTAGTCAAACCATTAATAAAAATGGCCACCGGTATGTACTTCCTGACTATTGTTTATTTAGCTGTTTCATCTGGTGAATGCAGGCTCTACGAAGCTGTAAAGCTTGCAATCGTGGTATAATGAAGGCAAACACTCAATCAAGTTAGTATGCAGTAAATGCTTTTGTGATACACTGATGTTTGAAAGTGAACAAAACTCTATGAGAGATTGCAGCCCATTTTGCAAAACTTGAAGAACTTTTGCCAAGTGATGGAGCATACGTCAATAGAAAATAATATTATAAAAACAATCATATTACTAAAAATTAAAGTACTCTCAATATGTTCAAGAATTCTTTACTCAGTTTTCAACCATTTTAAAAAGTTAAGTAAAGTTTATTCCATCTCACTATTGAGAAAAAATTTGAAAAAATTATATGTTGTAGAAAATGTATAAAGAAAACAATTTGTGTTCCGAAAACTAAATTGTGCGTTCAGCCCGTTGTACCTTAAGCATTAGTTTTTGTTTTGGTAGAATAGTTTTATTTTGTGTTGGAAAAGTTGTTATTCACTGAAACTGTGACTGTACACAGTTTACTGAAACTAAGCAACGATTCTTAGTTTACCGTACATGTATTAGTTTAGTAAGCTACATGTAGGTCAAAAATTTTTTTTGGTTTAGTTAATCAAAAGTAAAATACACATGTACTTATATTTTACTATAAACAAGCACTGAAATGGAAAGGCATCAAGAAGGTTCTTACTTATAATTTTACTGATATCCATAATTGCTTAATGATGCTATAATTTGGACTTTCCTCAGTTTTATAGTTCTTGCCTTTGCTATCAGTTCCTTTTATATTTTTTTGGCTGTGCAAGCAAAGGCCTGTTACTAACCAACGTGCAACTCTTCCTGTGTAACAGCTCTGAGCTTGCATATGCTGTCAAGTTCTTGCATTATATCTTAGGGTGCATGTACTTAACTCTACATGGCAATGATGCTTTTGCCTTTTAGACCAATTTTACAAAGTCAATATTAATTTCCTATTGACTATAGTTATTATAATTTGCCACAATTTTTGAGCTTGTGTATTCAATGGTAAATTTGACAGGACATTAATGATGTTAATTATGATTGCAGTACCTACTGTATTAACGTGTGCGAGACACTGAATAAACTACTTGCTAAGGTATGTCAGCCATCATCTGTTATTAAGCTTAGCCAATTACCCTGTACTATTGTACGGGTATTTTGCTAAAAATGATTAGAAAAAAATTCTTTATTTATTAATTTTTTTCTGATGCATATGCATTGTACAATTTTTATGTTGTGTAGAAAGTTTGAGTTAATTCCGATCAAGATTGGATTTATAATGAATTTTTAAAGTTGCTCCAAAATGTGACTAAAGTCCCTGTACTATTATAGTACTGTGATTTTGTCCAAAATTTTCCAAAAATGAAAAGATGAGAATTCTCCAATTTTAGTATTTTTTTCTGATACATATATATATACATGTACTTATGTTCCGTATCAAGAACAAAGACGAGAAAGAAAGACATGAGAGAGAGAAAAGTTAAATAAGCCCATCCACAGAGGGCAAGACAGGTAGAGTCCTATTCAGCCACATCTGAGCATTAAAATGCCAGAGTATAACTGAGAGCCTCTGGAGATGGCGAGAAACATCCTGGTGCCTAGGTGGTGACCAATCATCCGGATGGTACTGAGGGCATCCCGACTCCAACCACCCAAGGACTCCACAGCCATGGGAAGAAAGGAAACCCCCACTCTTTGGCAGTTCGCAAGATGGACAGAACGCTTTCACTGTTCAGCAACAGACAAAGCAGACCCCTGAACTTGCTGAATAACTTAAACTTGTAGAGGGGACACAACTGTAAAGTCTGAAGTAGCAGGGCGACTGTGGAGCCAGGAGGGAAGGAAGACATCAGCAGGACGACTTAGAGTCAGGCACAAGGTACGGGATCTCCCTGCGAAGGGAGAAGGCAGCAGCTTGGGCTGCAGAAAAAATAACATCCCGTAAAGCATTATGCCTAAAAACTCTCTCTGTGCTGCCTCCACATGCTAAAGCATGATCACCAAAAGCATCAGCAGGACGAGATGAAAAGGGACAATCCATGGTGTCACTAGAAAGCTGAACCCCCAACCAATATCTCAGACAAAGCCGAAATTCACAATCTAAAAGATGAAGGCCTAGGTTTGGGGAAGGAAGTACCCCTATCCAATCCCCAGCATGAGGAATACTGCTAGACAGGAGAAGGGCCTTAGAATGAATGTCCTGAGTCTAAGAAAGAAGAGCATTATAATTGACCTTATCTATGAGACCTGAGAGAGACTTTTGAGATATTGGCAGGTCAAGCTCTGAATTAGACGTCAGGTCAGCAGAAGAAGCAAAGGCTACAAGAGCAGCAGATACATAAGATGGAGGCGCCTCTTGACCAGATAAGGATAATATAAGAGGAACAAGCAGTGACTGAAGCACGGAAGATGGCAGATGAATGCCGAGATGCCAAACGGAGACCAACACCACCTAACTTGATGGGCAAGGCAGCTTTATAGCGTGACCAAGATATGAGGGAAAATCATTGTTATTATTATTATGAGAGTGAAAAAGGAATATTATTAATTGTTATTATTATTATTATTATTATTATTATTATTGTATTATTGTTATTATTATTATTATTATTATTATTACTATTATTGTTGTTATTATTATGTGAGTGAGAAAGGAATATTATTATTATTATTATTATTATTTTTATTTATTAGTTATTATTATTATTTTTATTTTTATTTCTTATTATTGTTATTATTATTATTTTTTTTATTTATTATAATAATAATAATAATAATTATTATTATTATTATTATTATTATTGTTGTTATTATTATGAGAGTGAGAAAGGAATATTATTATTATTATTATTTTTATTTATTAGTTATTATTATTATTATTATTATTATTATTAAACAAAAGCAACAACAGCAGGGAAGTGAACAAAACAAAACAAAACAAACACTGAACAAGCAAGGAGAGACAAAAAAGGAATTTAACTGTACATGGCGATGATGGCATTTTGAAGATGGTTTTCCCTATTCAGACCCATTTTACAAATTCCCTACTAATTTACCTTTGACTACAATTATAATTTGCCACATAATTTTTGAGTTGGTTTTCTGATAACGTACATGTTTGTGAATGTATGCTTGTTAGTACGATGAAGTAGCTTATAGTACTATATTTAGTATTTGATAATGATATTGGTTTAGTGTTGAAATGTAGTTCTAACACAAGTTATGCTATATAAGATGTCTAATATCATCGGTGAAGTAGTGATATGACTCTTAATCTTAATGTACATGTAAAACCCCCAATCTCCAGATATTTTATTGCTTATCAGCACTGCCAGTTTGTTAGCCCACTCCAATTTGATCTGTTTCACTGGCGGAGAGGGCAGGTAGCCTCATTACAATTTTTTATCATTGAAATTTTTATTTGCCAATGCGGGCGTGAAAGGTGAATATATGAATGTAATTGGAGTTGACTTAACTGTACGTTTCATTCTTCTTTTACCTTGCATGTGTATGTAATGTACCAAAATTAATGATTATTGCAACAAGTCATGCTTTTAGGCTTGCCTAAGCTCTGATTTAATAGCATCACAATGTTGCTCACACATATTCCATGCTGTCACATTATCTCTGTGTAATTATGAATGAGTGAAAAAAATCTACATGTACTAATGTCTATGACTGCTAATTTATACATACATATGCTGCAATTGATATTGATTACTCAACCCTGACCCTGGCCTTTTACTTGTATAAGAACTTGTGCCGTTTCAGTACATTGTTTTACTAATTGTTTTAATAGTAATATATAAGACTAACAATTCCTCTTAGTGAAACTTGTGGAATCCATTATTTTATAATTTGGTGAAATTTATCACATCTTGCTTGAAATAAATTTGCTGTTCATTGACATTCTTACTTAATGGCACTTCCTTTATGTCACAGTCACATGCAATTCACCACAACACTTCTCACTTTTCCTAATACTCTTGTCTCCTCTCTCTCTCTCTCTCATTACAGATGCTCTCATTAGCTCTTGTTGATCACAGAGACTTGTGGCAGGTAATGATGATATTCATTATTATTTTATGTAGCTATACATGTACATGTTTGTTGTACAATGTAGATAGTTTGAAGTGCTTAATTTGGGTGAATTGCTGTGTGCCCATTGATCTCTTATTTAATCATATAATCTTCTCTCTTTTCTCTCTATTCCTTTCCTTCATAAAGGAATGACACACGAGTGATATGCATTGGGTTGGATTTGGTGACTGTTATGTTGGAGTGTGGCGTGAAGAGTCTTGGATACATTAAATCACTGAGAGTTCTCATGCAAGACGGACTCTGCCATCACTTACTTACTGTAAATGAGCAACTTTACGAAGTACGTATTTCAGTTTGTGTTAAATTATAATTTGTTAGTTGCTTCAGAACGAATCTGTTGATGTTTTTGGTTGCTCTTTGACAAAGTGCTTTCTTCTTTTTGATTCAAATTGTCATCATCTCAAACTACAGCTGGAGGTAAAGAAAGAAACACATACATGTATGTGGATCATTAAATACTTCTCTCTCTCTCTCTCTCTCCCTCTCCCTCTCTCTCTCTCAGTGGTTCCATAATAAGCTAATGCACACAATACAATTAGATCAGTCAAGACTTCAAGCAAGCAGACAAGAGCTAACATTAGAATGTCTCAATTCAAGTAAGAAAGAGTACATTTATGTACACGAGATTCGTGACAGTTTAATAAATTTTTATGTCTCTCTTTTCTTTAGTTTTGTCACATTCATAATTTTGTATCAGAGTTATATGTTAATTATGATTGCAGTACCTACTGTACTAACGTGTGCGAGAGACTGAGCAAACTACTTGCTAAGGTATGTCAGCCATCAGCTGTTATTAAGCTTAGCCAATTACCCTGTACTATAGTACGGGGTATTTTGCTAAATATTATTACAGCAAGCATTCCCCAGCTCTTATCACACGATATCATCAACCAACATAATTAGCAATGGAAACACTACTGGCAATGATACTGGCATTAGAATCAACCAACACCACCACTACTGATAGTGATGATACCAATGATGGTGATACTAATAGAATGTGTACTAAGATTAATGGAGGGAAAGTTGCAGGTGACTGTAATAAAGGAGTAAGTGTGAATTCATCTGCTGGGATCATATTCTCATCAGATAAGCAGCAGCAACCAGATATCAGTCTGAATGGAGCAGAGGAGGTGGGTGGAGCTATATCAGAACGTAATATGGCGTTTTGGCCTTTTGTCACTTTATTTAACCATTTTTAAGGGTAATTTGAATCATAATTGATCTAATTTTACATTTTTTGTGTTCCATTTGTAGGTACCATCAAGGATCTCAAGTCCTTTTTTGTAGGCGGAGTTGACAAATTGTCATCAAAATTACATGAATGAACATTAAAGGTAAAGCACACATGATATTGAGATAATTTTACAAATATTTAATGGACTTGTATGTGCTTCACGTTCAGAAGAGGTCATCGTGGGGGGTGGAGTCATGCATCCCATCTAATATGGCAATTAGGCCTTTTGTCACTTCATTTAACCGTTTTTAAGAGTAATTTCAATCATTATTGATCTAATTTTACATTTTTGTGTTCCATTTGTAGGTACCGTCAAGGATCTCAAGTCCATTTTAGAGGGCGGAGTTGACGCCTTGTCTTCACATCTACATGAATGAACATTAAAGGTAAAGCACACAAGATATTGAGATAATTTTACAAATATTTAATGGACTTGTATGTGCCTCAGGTTGAGAAGAGGTCATCGTGGGGGGCGGAGTCATGCGTCCCATCTAATATGGCGTTTTGGCCTTTTGTCACTTCATTTAACCGTTTTTAATAGTTTCGATCATTATTGATCTAATTTTGCATTTTTGTGTTCCATTTGTAGGTATCGTCAAGGATCTCAAGTCCATTTTAGAGGGCGGAGTTGACGCCTTGTCTTCAAATTTACATGAATGAACTTAAAGGTAAAGCACACATGATATTGAGATAATTTTACAAATATTTCATGGACTTGTATGTGCCTCAGG